GTTTGAAAACACCATAAATTCTCTAAGATGGGAGCTTTAATGTAAAGAGTTTGACATCTCTCCTGTCAGGTTGCAAAACAAGTAGGCTTAAAAAGCCCTGTTATCTTAGGCAAAAGTGAAAATTCAGCTCTGGAATTTTACAGGAGTAATGTCTTCAATCCACTTCATATTATGAACCAGCCAGACTGATAAAGACAAGGCTAGGAGAAAGCAGGATGTAAAATGACAGACCTCTGCCACTTAGATGTTTATGGGACAGAGAGACAAATTTCCAGAAAAGCTCCAGACTTCCAAACCTGTGCACACAGACACCCAGTGCATGTGGAACAGAGACAGTGCCTCTGTGCCCCAGCACCCGGCCAGTGATCCCAGGCAGAATTAAGGCTGCATGGGTCATAAAGCTAATACACAGTCAGAAAGGAAGCTTTCATTTCTAAGACAGACATGTAAAACTGATTTAAGTTAATTAAAAGAAAGAGAAACAAAACAAAAAGTAAAACCCAAGAAGATTGAACATCTAGGTTTAATTCATGTCAGTGAACAGTGCTGTGTGACACAAATGTGTATAAACTAGAAACAAGATACATCTCAAAAAGCCATCAGATTTATTTAGCTCTCAGATGTTCAACCCTTTTGCCTACTATTGTCACACAAGTTTATGCTTTTGCACAACCTATGTTCAGTCTGTGACTGGATAAATCCTGTGCTGATGAAAATCCTTGTTTTGTGTGGCTACACCAGAGAATGACAATCACATGTGCTTTCTTCCTCTTTCCTCAGCACAGACCTTCAGCGATTCATCAGATACCATCAAGGTAAAGGCTAAAACTGATTTTCCCTCCTCCCATCCCCACTCTCCGAGGCAACTGAGGCCAAAACATCCACACATTAGACACACAAAGTGTCCATCACGTTCCTACAGAAGAAAGAAAATCCCATAATCAGACTGTTTGCTCTAGGATGTAGAAAACTACCAGTTTAAGCCCAGGTACAAAATAAGTGTATGCACAAAATACTGAGATGCAGCCCCCTTCTTGGGCAGCCAGTGGCCAAACAGACTGCAGTACATACTCATAATTTCTGAGGCTGAGTGTAATGTTGTCTGGCTCAAATCAGACAGTTCAGGGGACTGAACCTTGCAATGTTGTCTCAGTGAATGTCCTGAGCCACTGCACAACTTATGGCTGTAGGGGTGCTTCTCCCTCCTTCTCCTTCCCTTCTCCACTCAGCTTTCTGGTAACCAGTCTCGACTACTGGCATGTTTCCCAAAAGAGTTTCAGTTTCAGCATGACATTTTCTAAAAGTCATTTAAATGGACTATTACCAACCAGGTTCAGTAATAAAGAAATCTTCAGCTGAAAAACAAAGGGGGATTTAATACTTTGAGGCTTAAAGGGTTTTGGTTAATCTTTGCACTATAAAAAAAATGGCAATGCATCAACAAATGGCTAAGTCTCTGCTGGAAAAGAGTAAGATTTCCCCTTCCAGTGTCTCACCGCCTCTAGAAGGAAGAAAAAAAAAGAAAAAAACTCCACAAAACCAAACATATCCTTTTAGGTTGCACATTTAGTTTCAAATCAGAAGAGAGCAAATGGTTGCATTGCAATGCAGGAAACACTGGTAAGATAAATAAACTGCTTGTTTATTTTACCTCCCTGCTTTGGGTTAGATTTAGGAGTTCTGGCAATGTACCCCAGAGTAATTTAAGAGGTAACTCTATAACTTGGTGTCTGCCCTGCTTCTCTGCTCAAATTAATCATCCTAAAAGGCAGGGGTGGGGCTACAGCCACTTCTCAACTGTTGCACTTCACAGTCTTATGTGGTTGTTTTTCTGTGGTTGTTTGTGTTTTTATTAATATGCTGAGCTCCGAGAGGCAGGAGCTGAGTGTCTGTGGTTTGCTGCCTCTGCTTTGTAGACAGTGCATTTTAGCAGAGGGTAAATGAAGCTGCCTCTTGAGTCCCTGGTGACAAGGAATCACCAGAAACCCTATGTACTGCAGAATGAAGTGCTTCCATTTAGCAGCCTGAGTTGGTTTTGTTTGGTTTTTGGGGTTTTTTGGACGTTTTTGGTTTTTATCTAGCAAAGATGACATCAGTAAAGCGAAAGTTGGTGACCAGCAGATAAGTGGGTGTTTAGCAGAAAATTTTGAAGAAAGTGGGCAAGATGACAGAAAAGGGTGTGATGAAGTGAGCTCATCATTTGTACCTCTGAGTGTAGGATTGACTGTGGGGGAAGAGGAGGGGGTGGAACTGTAATGGGGAACCTGCCAAGTAACTGTCTGGTTTTGAGAGTTTTTAGTGTCCCAAGGAAAAGCTCCAGAGTGTGGTCTGAAAACAGTCATCACAGGGATCTTAGTGCAATAAGAAAGATGCCCCTTCTGAGTGTTAAACTTGGCCTGTGAATAAGGGAAGTTTTCGCACTTGCTCCATTGGTGTGTGGGATAAATCACACCACCTCTGCACTTCAGCCTCCCTGCTGATAAGAGAAGGCTGCTGATAACAACCTTTCACAACATGATGACTGGAAGGATTCTGGAAAATGTGACTCAGAGCAAGTCTTGGTTAGGCCTATGTGTTTGAAGGGACAAGAGATGCTCCAGACTTCACTCAGTGGATTGAGAGCCACTCACACATGAAAATTAAGAGCCTAGCTGTTCTCATTTCACAAGTACATTAAGAGAAATACGGCTGTCCTTCCACCTTTGCAATCATGGCTAGGGGAGAAGAGAGCCATGCACTTGATGATAAGCAAGTCTACACTGATTATTCTGCTCCTTAAAATTTCTGGAATTTCTACATCTCAAAACTTTGTAAAGCCTCAAATCAAAAATGAGAATTTATTTTCACTGAAGTGTTCTCATGGTCAGGAAATCTTTCATGCAAAGCAGAATCTAAACAGACAATATGATTTGCATAAACTTGGAAAATTCAAGGCAAATTCTTCAGGAATTTTGTTTTAACATTGTCATTCTTCTAGGCTTGAAAAATAAAAGCTAACCCTTTGGAGTTTTTAACCATTGAAACAGAGACCTCTCTTCCACTTAGAGAGTGTGGAAGGTAGTTACAAATGTCACCACGAACCCAGCAACACTCACCCAAAATATTGCCACTACTGCAGAAAACAGAGGATATCACTATAAAGCCAGTCGTTAATCACTGGCTTCAGTACCCAGTGCACTCAAATCAAGAACATAAGGGCAAACAAACTTTTAACTTCTGTCTCCAAGCACTAATCAGTGCACATTGGCCCTTTATATTTAATGAGTCATCCTGCTAACTATTTAATGCACAATCACCCACAACTCATTAGCAAACACCTTCAGGAGGCAAAAGGAAGGGACAAGTCTAAACAGTTAGGAAGGCATTTGCCAACACAATCTTGCCTCCTCCTTCACTAATGGCTTTTCTTTCACTTCCCTCTGTTCTTAAGGACAATATCAGCTGAGGGCTGCTGGGGAAGGAATTAGCCCTCATTTCATCTCTGGAGAGGCTAGGGCCCCTTCCAGGAGAGTGCATCTCCTGCACAGCCACACACACACATGCGCCTGGGGTCTTAATTGCCTCCCAGACCCTACAGTCTCTCTGGCAGTTTGCTGTGACTCCCGTCCCTCCATTTCTTCCTCTGTTTTCTTATGCTTTTTATTCTGCAAGTCACCCTGACTCCCCTTCCTTTAGTTCCTTCCCTAAACACCCCATATTAAGTCTTGTTCGAATCTCAAATGCTCTCCCTTCACGTGATAAAATGTCCTATGAAACTCTCCCTTCTTGCCCATCAGCTCCCATTCCCTGCTTGGGTGGATGTCACGGGGATGATCTGCCACAGGGATGATCTCTCCTGGGACAGCCCTGAGGGGAGCTGGAGCCCGGGCCAATGCAGGCTGCCTGGCTCCATTGGCACTGCCCTTCTCCCTCTTGAGCTTCCACTGTGTCAGCATCGCCAAGCAGGGCTGTGGGTTGTTGGGCTCTCCAGGTGTGCAGCCACAGCCTGGACAGCTGGGAAACGACTGTGGATTTACAAGCCTAACATTGCGTGTATTAGTCAAATGCACGAGTACAGGCCATACCAGACCTGCTCACACCTCCAAATTTCTTCAGGGTATAACCATACTGAAGCCTTGCTCATTCTCTCTTCCCCCTCTTCCCCCTCAGGAACACGTTGGCAAAAAAGATTCCGGTGAACTTTGGTACTCGACTGTCAGCCATGATGTAAAACACGATGTCTCTGTGATTGACAGCAATTATCAGACAGAATATGCAATTGTCAGTGTGCCTGAGAAGAAGGCAAATGTCACCAGCCCTGAAGAGCATAGTGAATATGATGATGTCCTGGTAACTTAAAAGGTATTCTTTTGCCTGAGTGTGTGCAGCCGTGATGACCATCCTTCTGCTGCCAGAGCTTCAAACAAATACCTCTCTCGTTACAAAACTTACTCATTAGACTACGTCTACCAGTCATTTACTATGAGACAAACCTGTCCATGAACAGCTGATCAGAGAAAGAAACATGGACTGGGTGCAGGACTTGACAATTAAACCAGGAGAAATCAGTATGCCATCATATGACAATGTTCCTCTATAGAAAATTAGGAGCTACAATATTTTAAGCAACTGAGGCTGTAAATTTTTCTGGACTTTTAGAATACTTCTTTTTTTTAAAGGGGCCTTAAAGAATTACTGCTATAAGTCTCAAAAATGCAAAAATAACAGGGTTTTTCTGTTTGTTTGGAGAATGTTTCATGTTTTAAATGAAAGCATAAACCTTGTGTTAGATGCACTTACTGTTGTTCAAAATTTCTCTGACATGCTTGATTTGTACCATTATACAATGCAGAGTTTTTATAAAGAACTCATTTCTCAAATTCCCCCCCCCTTCTAATGTAATACTACTTAGCATGAGGTCTTAAAGTTGGAATTAAATAAAAAGCCCCAAAACAACAAAATGCACACAAAACAAATATTACACCCATGAGAATACTGTTGATACTGATGCTGATAACTACCTCTCAGTGGCAGAAGTCCAGGTGCTGCTTCCATGACACAAAGCTTCCACAGCTCGCTCCTGCTGAAGTCTCCAGTTTGTCCTAATGCTAGAGTGTCACCACCTCACAGTCCAGCCCCACCTCTACAAGCAGTCTGGACGTGTGTAAAGAAGTGAAACCAGATATTCAGCTGTTTACCAGAGCTCACAAAGTGATTATGTGTCTGTGTTCTTGCTGAAGCATGTTTTTTCACTCCCTCCATTTCTGTAACAAAACAGTATGGAAGAAAATGTTGAACAGTGTTTCTGATTTTAAGTCTTCCTTTGTATGTGATTGCTGGCTGCAGCCCTGGCTTTATGGTGCAGTGCATTTGTGACTCCCACCTGCCATTTCCATGCTGGGGATTGTCCCATGGGCAAGTGCACAGGACAGTGGATGGACACACTGCCAGCACGTGCAGGTATCACTGCTGTGGCAGGCAGCTAAGTCTGCCCAAAACTCATACTGGCTGCTGTGGCTACACAGATGACACCAGCCATAGGATTTTAAAGGGCTGATTGTACACTCCACAAGCTGCTTTTTAATAATGTCTCAGTTGTCCCAGTCTGTTGAGGACTCCCCATGTGTGGAGACATGAGGCTTGACACCATTTTCTCAGAAAGCTGATTTATTATCTTATGATATATATTATATTAAAATACTACATAAAACTATACTAAAAGAACAGAGAGAAAAGAATCATCAGAAGGCTTGAAAGAACAAAAATAGAATGCATAACAAAATCTTGTGACTCTCAAGAGTCCGATGCAGCTGCATCTGTGATTGGCTCTAAATTAGAAACAACCAACATGCACCAATCACAGATGCACCTGTTGCATTCCATAGCAGCAGAAAGTTAATTGTTTACATTTCTTTCCTGAGGCACGCAGCTCCTCAGCAGGGGAAAATCCTAGCAAAGGATTTTTCAGAAAATATCCTGGCTACACCAGTCATTAAAGTATTATCCTCATTGCTTCCATTAAAATTAATATTGATCATTCATACAAAATATTGTGGTGTAATAATGTGCTTTAAAATTATTTTTTAATTATTACTTGATGTAATAATGTGTTTTCACACTGCTGTGTCTCTAATGGATTGAGTCATAATTAATTCACTCTTTAATTTTCTTTTACATGATCAATTTACCTCACCAATATATAACCAGAAACTACTTTTTTTGACACTTCCTTCAGTGAGAGTTCAAAACCCGACTGGATGCAATCTGTAAAGTCAGACATTTTCTGCTGAATATCACATCTTACTACAGCTCCACCTCCTTCTTTCCCATTAAGTTCTGGGGTAAATGTACGGACATAAAGGAGGATGGCTGGGAAAAAAATGAATGCTTGACCCCTTTCTCAACTTTTAATGCCTATATAGGTATCACCATAAGGAAGTTAAATCATTACATTATTTTTCAGTTCCTAGAATCAAGATACAGAAGTGTTCAAGGAAAGGATCAGGTGTCTCGGTGAGAGCAGTAAGATTGTGCAGCATCTCAACAGCAATTTATTTCTTTGCTGCTGGTACTTTCATAGCATGCTGCTTTTGGGACAAGCCATATAAACCATGATGTTTATCCTTCCCCAGCATAAGAATCAAGGAATCTCTCTTCTACATATATGCTGCATAGATTATTACAGCAAGAGAAATTATAGTTCCTATATCTTACAAACCAAGAGAGAATCAGAACAAGCCGCAAATATGAGAGTCATGCAAACTACTAATTTGGTCCAGAAAGTTTCCCAAACTCAGTTTAAATGCATACAACAACAACAACAACAACTATGGGTTTGAGCAACAGCTCTGTCAGACATGCTTCATGCAGCCCAGCATTTAGAATTCTGATGGCTATTTTCCAATTCACACAGGTGAAAGACTAGAGTTGCTAAAGAATGAAAACAGTCACTTTAAGAGCAAAAAATAAATAATTTAATGCACAATAACATTGTCAGATTACTCCTTAAATAAACTAGTAATATTAGAAAGAGAAAAACAATTTTCCATGACATATTTCTTACAATACAAAATGCTTTTTAAAATAAAAGTTCTATCCAACAGCACTAACATTTATAAGACTATAAATAAATGACAAGATGCAATTCACTCACATGGTAGTGAATATGTTCCATTCTGCATAAAGTTAATGCTTAACTTTTATGTTATAGCCAGTTACTGCCTGTAACTTTTGTGCCACTCTGGCCTGTCTTCTGCTCCAGCACCACTCTTGGCACTGATTCATCTCCTTTGGTCTCTCACCAACAAGAACAACTATTTACTGCCTTATTAAGGCAAATATCTTACATCTCATCATTTTTACCCCCAGTGCTAGGCAGGAACTATAATTAAGGATATAGACTTACAAATTTTCAGGTTTACAAAACCAGGTCACGTATCTGTCTATTCACTAGTAGCAGTACCTAGCTGTAAAAGCACACTGCTAATTCGACCCTTTAAATATTCCTGTGACATTCAGCTTTGTTAGTGAACGAGACATGTCTCTTCATGCTGTTGCTTTCTTCTTTCGTATTTCACACTGAAGAAGAGAAAAATAGAGCAAAGAGCACCTTATCCAAGGAGGCTGTAGGAAGAATAAGGAAATTATGAGAGCTAAAGCATTCTTAAGAAGCTAGTGCAAAGGCCTTGCATGTAATTCAAGAATACAAATACACACACACACACACACACACACACACACACACACACACACACACACACACATGTATTTAGGTTTTCAGGCTGTTTTACAAGGAAAGAGCAACAAGTAAATGTGACATACGAAGTTTGGAGGGAAAAAAATAACAGATATGAGTTTGAGTGGAAGTGAGCATTGAGGATGAAGCTGCATAGATTATTTTGTATAAACCAAGAGAAAAAGAAAGGAGTCATGTGCAAGACTGCTTTCAAAGCTCATGCAGAACATTCAGATTTAATCATAAGCCAAGGCAAAGCAGAGCTTTCAAAGTCAACAGAGCATGCATCAAATACATGATTTTCTCAAGGGTGAAATGGATTACTAAGATATGGAAGAAGGAGGTAGTGGTGCTATAGCAATACAACATATTATGACAACATATATGTCATAAATATACCACATTTTTCATTTACACTATTGCACCACAGGCCATATTTATAGGACAACAATTTTAGAAGTGTTTCTACCTAATGAATAGTTCCCTGCCCTGGGATTACTTATAGATGGGGAATCGCATCTCTTCTAGGTGGTGATGAAGATGAGGAATCTTTCCATAATTTCTCTGAAAGTTAAAACAGTACTATATTAATATTAAAATGAAACTTTAAATAGTTATTTCAACATATTATTTCTTGTCTCCTTTTGCACTATTTTTTCTAAGAATCCTGTCAATATATAAGGAATAAAATGCCCTAAAAATTGGAACTCATGACCTGTTGATCTCTTGTCCCTTGGTAAGAGTCCCAAGAAAAAACAATATGAGTAAATTGCAAACCTTATTTACCTACACTGCAATGCTGAATTGTTAGCCTAGGATTATTCTAAAAGCACATAGGTGTGGCTCAGTAAATTGGCAGTGGGGGGAGGCAGCTCCGTGCATTGTTTTTAGTATAGCTTCAAAGCTCGTGGGACTTTTTTATGGGCATTTCTATCAGGACAAATATAAATGCATTGGAATCACTATCTAGTTGCTAGTAGTCATTGAAATCACTGCCTAGAAAACCTGGAAGAATGAACATTTGTTTCCTTTAAAGGTATTTCTGTACATAATAAATTTTCCAGAAAATGAAAGACAAAAACCAGGACTATTTTCATCCCTTAGATTAAAATTTGTTTTGTTAGCATTCAAAACCAAATGTACAATAAGGAGAAATGTTTTTAATTATTTGTCTTGCCATTATGGTACACATACATACAAGGAGAATTTTTCAGTGCAGGTAAAATGCAATATTAGATCAGAAAAGTTTGGTTGGAGTACACAGCTAACCAGTCTCATCACTATTCCCTTTCTCATCAAAGGACCAAACAGTGAGTTCTAGGTTTTAAGTGAAGCATATCAAGATTTTCTGAAAGCTATTTTAAAATATTCTTAATACTGTTATGCAATATATATATATACTAATGCAAATTATATATACTAATGAATCTCAATATCTTTCTAGAAATATTTCCCTACTTTCCCATAAATACTTCTGCTCTTTGTAAAGAAACAGTTTCTCTAAGGTACAGCACTTACATATGAGAGAAGTCAGGTTGAGCTTTAACCTGTCACATTCAGATGAATTCAGAGTATCTTCATCATAAATATTTTGACGTAAAATGTTTCTTATAAAATCTGGGTTCATACTGTTCTCCATAAATCCCTCTGTTGATGGTGGTACACAAAACACTAGCTGATAAATTACAGTGGAGCTTTCATTACTGAAAAACAAAGTCAAGGATTAATGTCTTCAAGTATCAACAGGACCTTTTCTTCTTATTATTTGAAAGACTGACTTTTCATATCAGTGTTGGGATGGATTTTTATTTTTTTTTAAATAAACATTTCCCCAAGAAGAGCATTATGAAAGCAGACTATCAAAGATTCCAGTTTCTGCCTCACCCTTCCTTCTCAGAACAGCTCTTGAAACTGGGTACGGACTTGAAGCCAGCCAGGGACATGTTTCCAAATGCACAAGGGGCAATTGGACATGTGTTCTAATGGGATGCAGTTTTCAGTACTGGTGGTTCACAAGAAGCTACTGATAAGAGGTGTTGCAATATCCTGTGCATAGTTTCACTAGAAACCTGTAGGAAGGTTTGTTTTCCTGCTAGCAGTATCTGGAACCATGTGGCTGTGCTCCTGACTCAGCTCTGGAGTGGATTACACAAACCAGTGAACTGGAGACCATCTCTGGAGATTTGGTTTTTTGTGACTACAATTCAACAGCTATCTTCTGTACTCAGAATTCAAAACATTTTCAAAAAGTACTTGAATGGGGGAAAATAAAAGGAAAGAAAGAGAAGGAGACAACAAGAGAGAGACATCAAAGAGGCAGAGAGAGTTACTAGCTACTCAACATATGCGCAGAACTACAGCTTTGTACTTGATGGTCTAAATCATAGTTAGTACCCTTAAGGCTAAGGAGCTACAGTTCACTGTTGAACAAAGCTGGCATGCCCCAGGCTGGCAGGGCAAGGGAGCTTATTCCTCAAGGGAGCAAAGTGCCTTCATGACTGCCACTTGCCACATTGCAATGTGGCTAGTTCTCTGTCATTGCTATCTCAAAGGACCTGGGACTTTGCAAAACTACTTCCCTTGATTTTTTCCCTTCTTTCTGAATTCTTTTGTAAGAGTTCTTTTTCAGAAGTCCTTGGGAAAGCTCTCTGTCTTCCCTTGCCTTCCTGCTATCTCTCCATGACAGGAGACACATAAATTCCTCTTGCCTTTATCTATTTTGGGAACAAAATTATTCTCTCCTCCCTATGAACCCTGTTTTATATATTTAAGATTATTTAAACTACATCCATCTTAAGCATCTCCAGCAATTAATTTACCTTTTAATAAATATCCTTGAATGTGTTTATTAAGGGCTGCAATTGGAACCAAAGATAACAGAGATGATACTTCACAGCAACAATATGTTCCTGTCATTATATAATTTTATCAGCATTTACCATTTACACCAGATGATCCTTTGACCAGTTTTCACTGCTGAAACACATAATTTTCCCCTAACAACCCATTTTACAGGGATTTAAATATTGTACATGTTTACACAAGCAAATGTATGTCTCATCAAAAGCCTGTAATTTTCAGATAACTTTGGTGACAGAAATTGCTTACCTGAAAGAAATCACCTGAGCTGACCTAAAGTAACGTCCTAAAGCTGGAGATGAGTTGTAGACCTCTGTTAGCTGAGAGAGAGAGAAAAAAATGTTTCTTCTATTCAATCTCTTTTTTGCCCTCACAAAATAAAAAATAACCCACAGCAAATAATTCTTACAAAGTGCTTTAAGGAGCATAAAAACAGGTGCTGAAGGTCAAACAACAGCAAATATCTGCCCTGGAAAAGGTAGAGAGACATTTAAATTTAACAGACAAGTTAATTGCACATTTGAGTGATTGCTATGTAACCTTAACACAATGGAGGCACTCATGGTGAACTAAGAGCATGTGCTCATGTTTCCATGTGCAGCTAATGCTGTTAGGTTTGGGATCTAATTAGTACCAAAAGGCTTTTCTAACTCTTACTTTGGGGGGGACGGTGTCTCTGTCTTGAGATCGCCTTCCCACCATGTCCAAATGATCTTTGCCAAGTATGCTGAGCACATTTCAGCTGTAACTCAGAGCTGTGCTGGCTCAGCAGAAATCACTGCCATAAACCCAGGCTGTAATCATGTACTCATAAGAGAATGCAGCACACTAGGTGTTTAGCCCATATTATGCTTAGATGATTTCCACAGGCCTCTCCTAAATTATTCAATAATTCTATGAAAAAGGTGAAGACAATGTCTCAACAAATGGTCAAATTTAGGGGGAAAAAATCTATACAACACATTTTATTTGTGGACTTGAAAATGACTGCATTGCTATGCAGAGAAACAGAAACTTAAAAGGCAAAACACTGAAGAAGAATCAGCTTTGCCAAGAATCACATAAACACTTACCCTTTTAGTAATGTCCTCAGAGGAGAAGTGTGACAGACCACACATTAACTCCAATGTTCCTGAAAAATTGTGAAAATTTCCATTTCTTAGTAATTCATCAGGATCCCAGTAGTCATCCTCATCTGTGTAAATATCTAATAACCAAAAGGAGATAGAAAGGGGAGAAAAAAGTTTCAGATAGCTCAAGTATTGAAAAACAACCCTCTTGACTTTCTCCAGGGTGGCTTTCTCATAGATTTCTTATGTAAGGACTGACTGGGAAAGACAGAAAGTGCAAGTCACCTGAAAAAGGTGACAGCACCTGGAGGTCAATCACCCACCTCCATTAGCCAAAGTTATCTGCTCTGGGAGTTTGACAGGCAATGACACCATGGGACCTAAGTCATCCATGGCACTTGTTCCAACATTACAAACATAATTTCCATCCTCATATCCAAATTTCTTCTTGTGATATTTTCTCACTTAGCTACAAACTTGAATTGTCACCTGATCAAGATACAAGTTGCTTGCTGCCTGATAAGATAAAAGCATTCACAACAACTACTGAACTACAATACCACCCTCTGCAGTCTGTATCCCAGTTCCTTCAGCAGTTTACTGAAGGACATTAAAGGATGTTATTGTTGCATTTGTCTTCTATTAGAGTGCACATATTGCATGTTTGCATTACTGTAACCAAGAGTGAGATACTTACTAGAATAAAGAATTAGGCTGATGAGAATGACCAGGAAGATCACTAGAAACATCATAGATATAACCATCCATAGTTTACACTTCCAGAAAACTACATTCCTGCATGATTTCCAGGGATCTCTCTCCTAGTTATAAAAGAGAAGGGCATGTTGATGAATCAAATAAGACAGGCAAAAATATTGAAGGATGTCTCTGCTGTCACATTTAGAAATAAAACCCCCACATCGACGGGAGAGCCTCATTGGTAAGCAATGCCCTCATCAGGGGTTTCCAGTCTTGACTACTGCTGCAGGAGAAAATGTAGACCTAGAGAAGGTAAAGGACATTCACTTGAGAGAGACCATTCCCCTTTGTGCAGAAGTTCTAACTCTTGAATGGCCCAAAAAGCTAAAGTACTGCAAAGGTGATTTCTTGGCTCCACGTTTTGTTGTTTTTTTTTTAAATACGTGAATTAAATTTGCATATTCCACAAGTTCTCCTTTTAATGTTTCTCATCTCTCCCAACTAAAAAGGTGTCTCTGGAGATATTTCCAAAATCATTCACCTCTGCAGCACTGATGATGTCAACCTGCATAGCTTCTGAATGCCAGCATCCCATGCAAAGGCAATGCTATTCAATAGATAGTATTGTTTTAAACCCTCCATAAAATAATTGAGACTTTTATAGCTGACTTACTTTTTCTTCAGAAGACTGGAAAGTTGAAGGCTATTGAGTGTACTTAACAGAAAGTTTAATGCAAATATCACCTGTTCTATGAGGTCAAACGAAAACTTCACCCAAAACAATTGTGCATGTATGTACATTGATATGGGAGAGAAAGGACAATACCTTGCCTGTTATTTAACTTTTAATAAGATTGAAAACCATGACAGAATTTAGTCTTTTAATGAGTTAATCCAGCAGGATGAATATTTAAAAAAAAAGGGGAGGAAAAAGAAAGAGCAAGCTCAGGTGATGATCAAAACTGGTAACTTCATCTGTTTTGTTCCACAGCCAGAAGAATCAGAAGACTGAAGCAAGGCTTGAATTCATAAGCAGACCATGCTGTCTTTTTAATTACTCCTCTCCCTCCCTCTAAATGCACCATCAAGGTAGTAATAAACTCTATGTCCTTTTTGTCATCAGTACCACATAAGGAAAAGCACATGCTGTAGGTTGCCTGGGCCACCCACACATGTGCAGATTGGCAGGAACCAGCTGACCGGCTGCTGCTGGAGACACTAATCTAGGTTTCCTTCCTTTACTTTTTGCACTTTCTAAGAACACAGAATAACAGAGAGGCTTTCACTGAATTTACCGAATTGAGCAGCTGGCTAAAAGTTTCTATGTGCCCACCCAGGGACACCAGTTCTCGGGATCTCCTCCGGTCAATCTGACCCCAAGATATATTAAAAGTCTCTTTTCCCCAACTCTGGTGTCGAAGAAGGAGTCAGAAGTCTTCGGCTGTCATTCTCAAGGTTGTTTATTATTTCTTATCTAAAACTTTTTCTCTCTGGCCTGCCGAGGTCTGTTCAGCAGGTCAGTAGGAGGCACACTGCACTGCCCTGAGGCAGTGCTATCTATTTATACTAAAAACTACATGTGCTTTATTTACAGTTATTGTCCGATACCTATCATCTATGTTAGAGTGTGTACTTCTACTTTAAACCAATCCAAATATGCTAACATCACTCAGAAGATGGAGGCTAGGAAGAAGAAGAAAGAAGAACAGGACAACACCCAAATTCCTCCATCTTGTCCCCTAGACCCCCTAGTAAAATCCTTCAAAATTCCATTTTACCTTGTGACAACTACTGTTATGCTACTTAAACTTTTGTGACTTGTAATTCTTCATATAAAGTTGGTAATTTGCTCCATGGGTTGAGATTGAATGACAACACCCAAATTCCTCCATCTTGTCCCCTAGACCCCCTAGTAAAATCCTTCAAAATTCCACATTTTACCTTGTGACAACTACTGTTATGCTACTTAAACTTTTGTGACTTGTAATTCTTCATATAAAGTTGGTAATTTGCTCCATGGGTTGAGATTGAATTCCCAAGTGTCTTTGGCTTCCTGCCAGGATCTCTGAGCCCTTGCCAGGATTTTGAGCCATCCAGGGCACCCAGAGGGATGTCCTGTGTTCTGACAGTGGCAGGGAACAGGGAGAGAAAACAGACACACAGAGAATGCACTTACAAGAGAGATTCCTTCAGGAACAGAGGCAGAAAAAGGAAAACACTCTCTGTAGGAACCTCTGCGCACAGAACTTTGCTCTACTGGAGAATGAAAGGCAAACACCAAGTATGGTTTTGTTTACAGCATACTTTCAACTGTCATCACGTTTACTTTTTTTTTTTAAATTTGATTTAAAAAATATTTTAGCAGTATGAATTTCAATTTAATATTTAACACTAGTGTATAGTTTTGTATTCTAAAAATGTTAAAAGCCAGTTGCACTGCTTAGAGTGCAACTATGAAATCAGCCATAGCCCTATCAGCTGAGACAGGCAGCTGTCAAGCCCAAGATTTGATTGAGCTACCACATGTTTAGACTATCACAAAACCTAACTCTTAATCACATATAGCAAACTGGCTTGATCCCAAGAAAACATTAATCTCCACAACTAGTCCAACACCTTCCAAACTTTGCCCATAGGTCAGGGGGAAGCAACAGCAGCCAAGAAATTCTCTCCCTGGTGGGCAGGGCAGCTCTGATTAACCTGCCAGCTGAGCAGAAAGCAGAGCATGGTAACTTCCAGCAGTCTGTATAGGATGGGGTGAAAAATGCCAATCACTTGTTTTTAAGATTTTAAAAGTTTAATAGTAATAAAATGGTTATAAAAATAGCAATATAATTAGAGTAATAAAAATTTGGACAATTTGGATTAGGACAATATGAGACAATAAAAAGAAAGTGTTACGGACAGTCCAGGTACCTCTTTCTGGGCAAAATAAGCCGGAAAAAGGACACATGTTAGCAGAAGATTAACCCTTAAAAACAACAGACTGTTGCATATTCATACACCTCATACATGATGCATAAACTCCATTCAAACAAAGGATTCTGTCTGGTCAGTGTCAACTTCTTCTTCTTAATCCTAACAATGTGCTCAGGGCTGAGCGAGGCAGGAAGAAGTTACTTTCTTCTGATAAGAGAGCAATAAATTATTTTTCTCTGAAAGATGGAGGTGTCCTGTGGCTGCTGTTTCTGTGCAAGTCCTCTTTTTTTAAAAAGTATCTTACATAGCATAGTTTCTATTTTAACATTATGTTATAATCTAACACACCACTTAAGAAAATTAATACAGCATAACTTTCTGACTCCCCTCCATCTGCTGCTCCTCTCTGCACCTCCTGGAATGGGTCTGGCCCTGCAGCGAGCTGATTCAGCTTTCCAGACCTCAGGAGAAATAAATGACTCCTGACACAAGAGAATGAAGGGGGTTTTTGCCTTTCAGCAGAATGAATCAGCCCCAGATGTGAGCAGCGGGCTCCCCTGAGGAAGCAGTGAAGTCACGGGAGCGGGAAGGGAAGGGAAGGGAAGGGAAGGGCGATGTGTCAGGCAGAGAGCTCCCGGTGCGGTCAGCCATGCCCACAGAAAAGCAGGAAACATCTCCGCACCACCACAAATACTCCTGCAGTGAGTAGTGTAAGTCACTGTACAGAAGTCACGTGTGAATATGTTATTCCTCTGCCAGAATTAGCCTGTTCTGTACCTTTAAACCAGGGACTAGGAGCTACCTCCTTAGGATTCACATGCTGACCTTAACTGAGGGTTCAGAGCATTCTATGAATAATGATTATTATTAAATTCATAATGGTTAGCAACTGAAAATTACTCAGAGATAAAGAGAATCCAGCACACTCTGTCTGAGGATATCTTATTTTTGTTTGGCAGCGCTGTTTCCTGGTTAACTTATACTGAAGGAAAGCCTGGTTTTAAAACTTATTTCAACTTTTCTCTTTTCTCGTTTTGAGCCAAATTCCACTGATAGCACATTAGAAGAGAAAACAAAATTGAGAGAACCAATTACAGTTTCACTTTCTAAATTAAAGCTTAAAATTCCCCTCTCAGAACACTTAATTGATTAGGAAAAAGAATGACATTTAACGGGTTTTTTTGCTTCTTTCCCTCTACCTCAAACAGCAAATTAAATCACCCCTACAAAATGATCCATCAAGTGTCATTTCTCTTGCTGTGTAGTATTTCCCCCACAGAAGGATCAAATGACCAAATGAAATTCCTACCTTTCTCGTTTGAGCATTTAGAGGCTTGTCATGATCAGTCTCACTTTCCTCCACTTTTTGTTCCGGTAATTCAATAATCTCATGCTCCTGAGTAGAGCTCTGCATTTTCATTGCTTCTGTCTCAGAAGAGGGTCCTCTGTGAGGACTTCTGTCTCTGAAGTGAGCACAGAGCCAGCTCATTTCCTTCTCGTTTCAGCTGCAGTTATGGTCAGTAGTAGCTCTGACACGAGACTGGAAACAGGAAGAGTGAGGATAGTGTTCACAGGAGAGGTCTCCAAATACAATTAAATTAGGGGAATTCCTTGGAAGAACAAGTGAAGTCGGCTGCCCTAGCTGCAGAGAAAGGGAAGGCAGAGGAAGTATTGATTTGCATAGCTGTGAGAACTCTGACTCTCAGCTGTGCAATACTAGGTTTTCCAGTTTGTCTACCTGCCTGTACCAGCCCTTGACAAGCAAGTGACTAAACATTCAGCAATGCTGGGACGATTTTGAAAGGAACCAGTGTTTTCTCTGCTGCTGTCAGCCAAAACAATAAAATGTTATTACTGTTATCCATGCAGCTAAACAGATGTAGTGCTGAACAGCATGAACAGAGTAAAAGTTCATAGAGCATGTTGTTTGCTTAGGCTGGGACTCTGTCAAAACTTGTGATTCTAGTCTCCCTCTATAGTCAATAAAGAAATGAACACTAATGACCTTTGTGCTGTAAATTGTTCTCCCTCTAGCTATTATAAAACTCATATCTGGTGTTGCAGAAGCATTTATGTCCTTCAACATACTATCCAACCTAAACCTGAGAAGCTGCTTTCAGGTAAAAAAAACCCAGAGGACATAGATAAAGAGAAGAGAAAGATGGCCTTCAATTTCAACCTGTGTTCTACAGGACATGCTTTTATGAAACAACCTGGTGATTCAGTCTGCACTAGCTTCCCACATGCACTCTCATGTGCACTTGGAGTCACTTTCAACAGCTTACTATAGCCAGGGACTGATTATGACCCCAGCCTCCTAAATGTCCTTGATCCTACCTCATCTTATTTCTCCTGTTCACATTCCATCCCTGTGTTTCTCCTTCCTTCTCACAGAGCATCTCTCTCCCCTCTGACTCAAAAGGTCTGGGCAGATAGCTGGTAACTACACCCTTCCTCACTCTTTTGTCCCAGCACAGGGAGTATCCTGCATCAAGACCTCTCTCCCCAGTCCCCTTTCTTGCTGCCACTCACAGCACCACTCCTTTTTCCTGCCAAAAACTCAGGGTGCTGTCCCCTCGTCCCACCACTCCAATTTTCTCCTTGTGCAACTCACCTTGGTTCTGCTGCCTGAAGCACACCCAGGGTTTGCATTCCTGATGTCACGTCACACCCATCCGGGCAAAGGTACTCCATGAAAGTGAGCATGCCTTAGGTTTATTCCATAAGTAAAAAGAAATACAAATTGTGTACCCCATGTGTTTTGGTTCTGAGAATATTTAAAACTCTGGAGGACTGAAGGTAAAACTGAGCAGTCACCAAGATCAGAACATGCATCTGGATCCACAAAATCTTACTTGGGTCATCTTACACTAGAAAAGCCTTTATCTGGTTCTCACTACTCCTGCTGGATATCAGGCTCAGTTATTCAATTTCTACTCACAGTAGACCTTCCTACTGGATTGTCAGGAATCAAAACTGTTCCTCTAAGACAAAGAGTTAATGATTATACAGTTCTCACCATGCAAAGGCCAAAGTCCTTATTTTGTTTATTTATAAAGAAACTGCTTGAAGTCTGTCTTTCATCTGGGGGATTTAACTTCCACACTTGTTTCATTTCTTCCATGTGAAATTCTGACCCTTTAGCTTTACAAAACCAGGAAAGTCCAAGGCACCAATGCAGTTCTGATCACACCTGGAGTTTAGAGTTTCAGAGGCACATCCAAACAAATAAAACATAGCCCCTTGCAGTTTTAGCACGTTTATTAAAAAGGAAGATGTGAATAATTGAATAAAGAAACAACACTCCTAATATACAGGCTTTGAATATAGCTTATGCTGTAAGTTTGACAAAAGCTGGGGCAAGATGCCCAACAGGAGAAAGGAAGGAAAAGCAAATAACAGTGTTAGAAAGAGCAATCTCACTGCATGCAGATTACAGTGCTAGCTCTTTTCAACATTTTCCCCACATGCTGCCAAGGTAGGACTAACATTAAACAAAAATCACATACTTATGTACTGCAGAGTAAGTGTGCTGTGTGGACAGCAATAAAAGGTGTTCAAACTGCCAGCTTTATCTTTTAAATATATATATTAAAGGTGAAAGCTAAACACTTCCAAATATTGAGCACAGCTTAAAGACCATCTAAATGGTCTTAAAGCCATCTAGACAATTCTTTTATTAAACTAAGAACTAGTATTCTGAAGTCCCATAAATAGCTTTGGAAACCTTAAATTGGCTAGATTTGGAGTGATAAGCTCATCAGGAGATTAAAATTATAAAACCTAGATATACTACCAGGGTTAAAGGAATGTTGCTGTAATTTCTTATTTTACTTTCTTTGAGCCAAAGGATGCATCCAACCACATAAATCCATTTACCTTCTATGTTATTTCAATTTAGTATGGCCTTGTGGTCACAGCCCAGAAAGACACACCAAAAAAAAAAAATTTCCTGAGCCTGAAACTCTGCTTATTGTGGACCGAGGACAGGACGAAAAACAATCCTAACCTACCAGGAACATGCTAAAAATTCACAATGGATGCCAGAGACAGAGCTGGAGGAGTACACCTGTAACATATTACAAATATTAAACCCTACAGTTCGTTCAAATTCTGAAGAGAATTTAAGAAAGCATTGTAGTTTCCTTTTGAATGAATTACAACTCATTCATTCCTTCCTTTTATTTAGACATCATCCCAAAGAACCTAAATTATACTCTTCCAGTTACTTAATGAAAATTTCTTGCATCCTAGCATTTTTTCAGCTATGAATCTGGTATTTTTATGAAAACACAGTAGAGACCCCAAAAGTTACAGCCCAGAAAGTAAAAGTCATGCAGTCGCACATAACTAGAAAGAATTAATCTCAGCTTTGTACACAACACACTATTTATATTTTTGAGAACTATGAAATAATTATTTATGTTTAGAATCCTGTAACATTCTTAAAGAGTTGAATATATATGGCATGTGGCCATTTTTATCCAGATATACATACGTGGAAACAAATATAGATAACAAGGGACAAAGAAGGAGAGAAGGGTTATGAATGAGGCATGGGTAGATTTTTGTTACAGGTTATAATCCATTTTATTTTGTTTTTAAGGCAGTGCTGTTTCTGCAAATAGCCATAAGGAAGATAAATCCATAAGGAACCTGAAGTTCCTCTGAGGCTGAACAGTTATTGCTAGATGAACCACAAATGATAGTTTCTTTATTTTAAAAAATGCATTATTTCATCAAGGAACAGTCAATGGCGTTTTCATCTTGTATCATCAAATTGACTATAGCAGGGAGCAGCTTTCACACAGAGGTTATCTTCATTTTGTCCTTGGCTCATCACTTTGTATTCCAATGGATCCAGTCATAAAGTGCTGTCAGCTTGGTGTACACACCAGGGCGATTGTGCTGAGCACACCCTTCACCCCAGCTCACGATGCCAGCAAGGTACTGTCTATTGCCCTTCCCTGTGCAGGCCAAGGGACCTCCAGAATCCCCCTAAAATTAAAGAAGTCCAGCCATTAGTGCACACACACAGAGCACTGTAACAAAAAATATGTTATTTAAGAACAGTAGATACCTGCCCCTCTTTTTCTCAAATTAAAACTTAATATTAATTAAAACTTACTTCTGGATATAATGTACCCAGCCAGATGCCATATTTATTCAATTATTTTAAATTATGGATGTAGCACACTTACCAATATAAAGCCAATGGCAGAAGCAGTTTATAAAATTACTCCTTGATAATTTCCCATTACAGGATTCATAGAACAACTCATCACAGCCCAAACAGGGAGAGAAGAAGACAGGGATGGAAATAGGGAATTCTACTACAACTTGAAATAGGGAATTCTACTGCAATTTGAAATCTACTATAAATTATTCACAGGTTGAAGGCAGATCTCTTATACTGTGTGTTAAATAGGAACAGAAAGATACCACACACCCCAAATAAAAAAAAATCCAACAAACCAAAACAAACCCAAACCCAACAAACAAACCAGGCACAATTAAGTATTATCAGCAGTTTTATAATCAAGACTGAGTCTAGAGTAGACTACTTTGTAGAGGCAGAAGAAGGAACAAAGACTAAGGAATGTGCAAATAAGAACGGGCTTCTCAAATGGAGCATGCAGGTTTGCACAGAGGTGTAGAAAAATGAAAATTTCCATTCAGTTCAGTTCACCGGATCAAAGTGCATTTGGGTTCATCAATGGTTTTTTTGCCTTTCATTACTTCAACCTTCTCTGACCTAGTCTGTTGATAGAACTCTGGGCAGTTACAGTGCAGCTCCTTTCTGCAGCTGCTCCTAATGCACACAAGGCAGTCAGCAGCCTCCAAATTGACCCTGGGACAATTTGAGCCCCCAGCTGGAGCCAAAACATGTAAGAGGTCAGGGGAAAGCCATGTACTGAGAAAAGAGAAATAACAGAAAGCTTTCATCACCCAACCAAACAAAATTATCTATTATGGTGGTACAAAATTATCAGGAGATAAGAGGACAGAGTTCTTCCTTTCTCTCAGGCTGCTGTCATACTAGAAATGTTGATAATCCAAGAGACTGATTTCAAAGTGACTTCAGAAGGGAGGCTCAACCAATTACTCAGCGAGTTCTGAAAGAACAAATGGGTTGTATACCACTAGGGAAAGGAAGGATCCTAAGAAGAGCCAAGATTAAAGAAGATCCTAGAGTGATAAGAAAACAGAATGAAAGGTATTTGGAAGCTTCACATAACGTGTGCAACATATGCACAGCTTACATGTACAGGAAGGAGTGAAAGAGAACAGCAGGGCCTTCACAAGTCTGAAAGCATAGTAAAGCAGGTTTAGGATGCTGTGGGGCTTTCCTGAGCTCCCAGTGTCATTCCTCTCTAGCACTGTACAGGAAACACATACTATATACTGGTACTATGTACTATAAACACATACTATACACCAGTATATATACTGGTGACAGAAAGAAAGGGTGGTGGGGGGAAACAACCCCCCAAAAAAGCAAAGATGCTACCCAGACTAAGAACTTAAAGATCCAAAGGGCCAACATGCTCCAACTCAGCCAACATGCCAGAACTCAGACACAGCATATCATGCTGGAAAATGGCCAGTATGCTATACAGCTGAATTAGTTAAAAATGCCCATCTAAAAATTCAAGGCCATTTCTTATGCAACATATTTCTTGGCGGAACACCACCCCTCCAACATATTTTAGCAAAACAATTCCAAGGTCAAAGTTTGCAGACAAACTCTATGTAATGTTAATAAAAGTAATAATTAATTTAATTAGGTCTTTGACACTATAAGGAAATTCTACAAATAGTCTATTGTGTTAAAGAGGTTTGACCCATCATGAGCTACAATCTTGCAAAAGTTATCCTATTGCATTAAAATAATAAAATTTATATATTACACAAAATTTTTACCAAAGTGCCTCAGTCTAATATTCAGTAGCAAATTTCTATCCCCTTTATGTGGTACTGGTATAAAAAACTTGTTTGTAAAGTTGATATTCATCATCCGAAGTCTGAATACTAATGAAGTACACAACTAGTGTACTAGGAGAAAGAAGGCAGAGTCAGGACAGGGAAGTATGACCAAAAAGCAGACTGTGTGTGTAAACAAGCTGGGGTTTATAACTTACACTACTGTGATGTAGTCACAAGTTGTAATTATACACATGAATGAATGTTTGAAATTAAAAAGCACCATTGCAGCTGCAGTTCCAAAACCTAGCTTAGCTTTTACTTTTGTATTTCTTTGCCGCTGTAACAATAAATTACTCATCATACTTTTACAGTATTTTAGCAATTCCAGACCCAGATATTAAAAAAGATAAAAAGAAATTAATACAAATATTAATTTGCGCAATTCACAGGTGGACCTTTTATTGCAGATAATTCCTTTTATCTTTATTTTTTTCTTCTCTGGTATGAAATATAACTGTTGAAGAAGAAAATTCTTCTCGACACATTTTACCCCTTATGTTTGCAAAATGATATTTCTCAAGAGAGTCAGAGATTATCCATGATGAATTTTCTTCCTTATTTTGGGGGTTTTTAGTTGCCATGTTAAATTAACCATGAGCTCACACTCAATAAAAAAGAAAAACCAAAAACCAAAACCCAAACAACAACAAAAAAACCCAACACACACACCACACAAACAACCTAAAACTGAAGAATTTTCCAATGAAAGCAAACATTCCTTTGTAGTTTTCCTACCAGTTCCAGATTACCTGGCATGCATCAACACCACCATTAAGTTTCCCAGCACACAGCATACGTGAAGTAATAAAATCATCATAGAGCTTGTTGCAAACACTTTGATTAATCGTTCGCACTCGAGCTTCCTGCAGTGTTTTGGCAAGATGACCTAGAAAAAGTACAGAAGGTATTGCAGAGGTAAAGGTGGCACAAATTTCTTATAGAGATACCAATTATTAAAACAAAAGAGAATTGC